TGGTTTTTTTACAACCATTAATATAGGGAATATGGAAAAGCCAGAATGTTATCAAAATATTTGGTAAATGCAAAACCAATTTTGACCAACATGTATGACTCACACTGGCCATAAACACTCCTTTAGCTTACAAACTACAACTATTAATAATGTCTCTTTTATTATTACATAAATGAAAAAAAAATCAAAACACATTTGAATTGTCTTTAGTATCTGAATTTGAAACATATTAGGCAGGTCAATATTAGTACAGGGAAACTTTTGTATACACATGTTTGAGTCAACTTAAGGTTGCTTGCCAAAACCTCTTAGTGACTGTTAAAACTCTGTTGAAACTCTAATGAACAATTAGTATATACCTTGTCAAAACTCTGACGATTGACAAAACTCCCAAATGCAAAACTCTAATAAATAAGTAATGTGTAACCTGTTGAAACTCTGTCAATTGATTTCTGGATGAGTTTCACTTATAACCTTATGTCAACTTGATGCTTTTTTCAAATTTGACTGTCAAGCTGTCTTTAATGTCCGAGTTTGAAACAATATAGATGCATTTTATCTGCACAGAGGGAATCTGAAAATTGTAAGATTCTTGGTGATGAAGTCCCTGCTAAGATTATTGGCCACCTTTAATGTATCACGGGTGCCTGCACTTAATTTCCTACACTTGATAGTTACTAATTAATCTTTTTTTATAAAAAGAGCTGGATCCCCCTTTGATTTTGAATATAACATTTTCCAATATCTAATCATATAAACAATTAATTACCTCAACTTAATATAACAATAAATAATAATCAAATAATATTATATATATTTACTATATTATCATTTGATCATTTGGTTAATTCCTCACATCACATATAAACTATTAATTAGTTCGATATCAATTACTGGAACAATAAATCTTCCCTTTCGTTTTCCAAAATAATTAAATAAAAATTTTTTTCATTTATATTGTGCAACAAACAAATTATTCTTAAAAAAATGTTTGAAATAATAAATAGTTTGCCACTTGAACTTCTGGCTGAAATATTCAAATATATTGAAAATGATTACCAAGTATTATATTCTTGTATTCTTGTCAACAAACAATGGCACAATATAAATATTCCAATTTTATGGAAGAATCCATTTTTTTCTAAAGGCAGTATCAAAATATTAATTAATTGTATGTTAGAAGAAGACAAGGATTTCTTAACTAGAAATTGCATTGAATTAACATTTGAACTATTAGAGAGGCCACCATTATACAATTATGCTAGATTTTGTACTATACTTTATTTTTATGATTTTCAATACTTGATAAAGAGGAAATTAAATCTACAAATTTTAGAAAATAAATTAGTAAACTTTATTTTAGATCATTCAGCAGGTATTAAAAAGTTTAGTTCTCGTTATCTAGATTGTAATTTATTAATTAATCATCATAGGTTTGATAATTGTTTTCAGGATCTTTATGAAATAAGTTGTAATAGTTCTGGTAGTGGTGAATTTTTTGATAAATTAGCAAATATTTGTAAAAATATTCAATCATTAATATATTATGATAGTAATGGCAAAAGTATATATAATTTAGCACAACTAATTAAAACACAAAAGCAAATTAAACATTTATCTATTGTATCACCAATGTTACCAGATGAATTAAGAAAGGCAATATTGACTCATTCACAATCAATAATTTTTTATAAATCTCAGAGAAGTAATTTTAATAGTTTCTTATTACCAACTTTTAAAAATTTAAAAACCTTAGAATTAACAACTTGTGCTAATAGAAAAATAATAAGTTTGAAAAATATTTCACTGCCAAATATTGAATCTGTAAAATTATGTATTGCTTCTCAACCACAGATATCAGACTTGTCTGATTTTATTAATATCAATGGAAAAAATCTTAAAAATCTGATTGTTGTTGGTTACAATGATGGATTCTTTGGAAAGCTATTTCAATCAATTGCACAATGTTGTAAAAATTTAGAAGATTTATCTACAATATATGAGGATGAATTAGACCAGGAATTGATGGAAGTACTTAATAATTGCATTAAATTAAAAAATATTAAATTTTATAAATTTCCTAGAGGTGAATTAGATTATGATAAAATATTGACAATATTAAATGAAACACTACCAGGAAACTTAAAATCACTAACTTTTGCTTGTAATGTTTATAATGTTAGTAACCATTCTTTGGATGTTCTAATGAAGAATTGGAGAGGACCCAAACCTTTAGTAATAGGATTTAATAAATTTATGTATGAAATTATGTTAGAAATTGATGGAAGAAAATTATTAGAAAAATATCAAGATTTAGGGTTTTTAATAATCAGAAAATATCGAAATTTTATGTTCAATTATTCTTGATGAATTAGAAAAAATCTGAAAAATATTTGAGAAGCAGATAAATCATTTAATCTTTCAACAATTATAGCAACTGTTCATCCAATGCTATTTATATAAGTAGATTATTGAATTTTACAAATCATCCTCAATGATTAGTAATAATTATTTGATTTATTGTTTATTTTAATGATATTTTTTAAAATATAATTTTAAATTATAAATAAATGATTTATCTAATTTATGTATAAACTTTATTCACTAATCTTTTTATTATTATTATTATAAGCATTTATAATTTATTGCTTTAATATTTTGTATTTTATATATAATAAATACTCTTATAAAGATAAATTTGTTTATTAATGTAGTGAATAATTACAGTACTGCTGCAAAAAAATGAGTATTTACTTCTTTTTTTTGCTTGTAAAAAATTATTAACAATTTATATACTTATACTTTTCTAAAATTTTTTTGTTGCATTGCAAATAAAGACTACTTTCTTTTAACTATTTATTGTTTACTTATTATGGATACACAATGCCACTTTGGGGGTTTTGAGACAAGCCCCCGTGGTGTTGTTGTGTGGATTTAAACGATTCTGCTATATATTTTTTTTAGCTTTAAATAAATCTAACCAAAAAACGATTCCTTTCCATTTTCCGCGTACCTTGAATTACGATTGGTTTATATTTTCGTCGTACTTTTAATCGGATTTTGGGTATAAAAAATGATTTCTTATCGGAAAACAGCCTACGGGAGGCTATAGAATCCTTAATTATCCTATTATCTTTAAACCGGTTTTGTTATCTATAAAGCCTAAAAGATATGCATTTATAAATATAACCAAAAAATCTAGCCAAGAAATTTTTCGTAAAATTAATAGGTTTTTTAAGCTCTAAAGCGTTTTTATCCTCTTCTCATAAGGTAGAAAATTAGGACGGAAATCTAACCAAAATTTTCTTTAACTATATTAGCTTTTTCGCGTAATTTGTTAACATATCTAATCATATAAAATCCGCGTTTATGTAAACCACATCTACCACAAGCAGAAGCAGTTGGTTTACCACAATCAGTGCAAGGAATACGTTTTTTACTATTATAATGATGTCGACAACCTTCAGATCTAATACAAGGTCTATTACAAGTTTCTCCAGAATTGTGAAGATAATTACATGTATATCCAGCTTTCATTTTGAAATAAGCTTATACATATAATAATATATTTTTTATATGTTTAATAAAAATTAACGAATAAATATTTTAAATTGAACAAAAATATACGCATATATATAAAAAGAACGTTTCAGTTAGATTTATTATACCATGGCAAAAAAAATTAGAAGCGATAAAAAAAGTACAATTTGTGAACGTTGTGGATATACATGTGCAACCCCACAAAAACTTCTACAACATTTAAACCGAAAGAACCCATGCAGACCACAAAATTCTACACCTAACCCCGAAATAATTACCAATTCAAAGCCCATTCAGGTTTTACAACCCTGTGAGATAAAAAATCTTAATGATAGAAGGTCAGGTGAGTCTGTTAAGCAATGGGGGTCAAGATTACGAAAAAGATATAAAAAAGTAACTTATCAGGATTATGAACAACCAAAAACTTTAGCAGAATGTAAACGTCTTTATAATGATTTAATTCAAATCGATCCAAATGCATTTAGTGGTACTCCAGAACATGAAGAAAACGATTTATTCTTACAAGAACAAAATGCTAACAATAATAGCGAAGCTGAATCTTTAGATAAACAGTCTGAAATAGCAATGCTAGAACGGTTAAATCTACTAAATGATGAATTTCAACGTCTAAGTAATATTACAGAAGAAAATGGAGAAAATATAATATTTCGAGAACAACAGTTAGGCCCTGCTCTTAAAAGACGGGCTGTAGCCGTGCATAATGCCAAAGTACCTAGATTTAATCCAAATAATGGGAGCGATATAAGAAAAATGCTAGAGAGCCAAAGAAAACCATTACGGGATTTACTTGAAAAAGAATTTGATAAGCGTGGACAATTCAAATTTGCATTATGCTCACTTTTAAAATTTATAGTAGATAAAAAACCAGGAGATAATGAGGAGGTAGACAAGAAAAATTCTACAAGAAGGGATTGGCTAAGAAATAAGCAAATTATAGTATATAATCGGGCTGAAATAGATGATTATTTAAGTAATGCTTTCGAACAAATTATATATCAAGTTGAGGAAAGAGGCGGAAAATCTAATTCTTAACCATTGCTAGCTCTGCTAAGAATATACTTTGGAGGTAATTCAGTATCTAGAGGAACGATTTGCAATTCCTCTCTTACAAATGAGCGTTTTGGTCCATTATAAAGTTTATAGAGTACTGGTTGACCTTCTTTTATTAAATAAGAATCGATTGTAAAGGTTTCAGGACTCCAATTCATATCAGTTGCACGTTTTTTTCCACCTTCCAATTCTCCAGGTTCCAAAAGATGTCAAACTTCAGTATAGCTAGGCAATAGAATTTCATCATAGCCAATTGGTCTATTATATTTTGTGGATGATTTAGCATATACATGTTTCTTTTTTCGAGCTTCAGCAGGGGACATATTAATCAAAATGGTTACAGAATTATCTAGCTTATTAAGAAAGATATAAAGATCCTTTACCCAAGCTCAACAACGTTTATTTAAAGATAATCTTAATTCTACAGCATCTTGAATATAAAATGCCCACTTTTGTAAAGTCAGATTAAATCTTTCAACAATACCCATACTTCTTTTAGATTTAGCTAACAAATGTTTAACGCCATGATTTATCAACATTGCATGGCATTCTCCAAGAAATTCTACTCCGCCATCAGTTTGCAACTTTTTTGGCCAGGAAAGTGGACATTTTTGAGAATTAAAAAGATATTTTAACCCTTTAGCAACACTAGTAGAATCGCGATCAGTTAAAGGATAAGTCCATTTAGTACGACTAGCAATATCTACACAGTTAAGAGCATATTTATATATTTTTTTACCGATTTTATCATGAGGCATATAGCACAAATCAGCTTGTATAACTTCCATTGGTACAGTAATGTTTATAAATGATGCATATGGAATAAAATTTGGCCGGGGTTTATGAACCTGAAAAATAGCCTGTTTATTTAACCAATTTTTTATATCAGTTAACGAAAAATTATAACCAGCATTTTTACATGCATTATACATTTTTTCAGCTGTTCTATAATAACCTTCAGGTTTATAGTAAATCTCACGCAAAATAATATTACGTTCTACAGAAGGATCAATTGATATTATAGGTACTAATGCCATCTTTAGAAGAACAAATCAACAAATTAGAAAAAATACTATCTAATAATGAGGTATATATTAATTATTTAGAAAAAGAAATCTCAAATCGGGATGAAGAATTGGAGGAGATAGAAATTCTTCGTAAGAATAACATGAGCTTACAAAAGCGTCTAAAAAAAGCATTGTTAGATATTAACTATAAAGAAGAAACATTGGTTATACTAGATAATAAAATATATGATCTTCAAGAAGAAATAAATACTTTAAAAAATAGAATCCAAAATATAACGTCCAGAAAAAAATCAACAATGGATGAAATCCAAACTCTAGGCGAATCAATTAGAAATGCATTCATAAATATCAATAGTATATTTCAAAGAACACCAGACATACCTAGATCAATTATTGATAGAGAAATTACTGATATAAGAAATGCTGTAACTAGACTCCAAGGAATTTCAAACTTTGAAAAAAATCGAGCAAATACTGCAGAAGCTAAAATTAATCAAGATACCCAAACTATTTTAAGATTAAATTCTACAGTACAAAAATCCAATGATGAAATGAGGTTAATGACAATGGCATACTATAATGAAAAGGAAGAACGTCAGCATTGGTATTTCTCATACAAAGATAAGCATAGGAGGATTGTTGAATTAGTAAGAGAAAAATTTGCTACCCAATTATTATTACGCACTAAAAGACAAAAATTGCAACAAAAATTAAATACTTGTCAGAATGATTTATTACTTAGCGATATTCAACTTGATAATAAATGGGGCAAATGGAAAAATCGATCCAGAAATTATGAGCAAATAATTATTAATCAAAATCAAAATATTTTAAATTTGCAAAATAATATAGCAAATCAACCAAACATGGCTACAATTCATGAAATATATTTAATATTACAATCGCCACTTAGTCAAATTCCCAATTATATAGGAAAAGAACCTCCAGATGAGTATTATCAAAAAATTATAAATGTTATTGATTCTATAAATACTGTAACTATGGCTGCCAATAATGCTAATGCAAATACTTTTACTGATGCTCATATATGCGATATCTTAAAAGGTAAAATGGGCGAAAAGTTTTCTCCTGTACCAGCTAATGATCAATATACTGTAGGCAATCCTGCTATTAATTCTCCAGCAACTTTTCGAGTTTGGCTTCGTCATAAATATCGAGAAGTAACATCAGGAAATTCAGAATTGGCTTTACAATCATTGATGCAAGAAAAATTTAATCCATTAGATACTCCAGATACTTATGAAACTAGAATCCGAAAAATTATAGTTGGTTTTCAAGCTGATATGGTTATACCAGCATTATATACCCATCTTCCTCCCGATCTTCGTAGTACTGTAAAAATGTATATGTCAATAAGAGGTGGCAATACAACTATAGATAATTTCTTTGCAGACTTAAAAAAATGCTGGATTGAACGGCAAGCTGGAAATAATAGTATACAACTGACATTAATAAATCAACAACAAACCAATAATGCATTAGATATATTAGCTAATTTAGCACAACGTTTGGGTTATTCAGGGGATTTAACTGATTATAATCAAATGCAAAAATATATTGAAAATGATCTTTATAGAAATTATGGAAGGCAAATTCATAATATGAAAAATGAACCATTTGAACCGCAAAGAAAAATATATGCTACAAAACAACCCGCTTCTAGAAAGGTAATTATAACAAATAAAAATTCAAGACAATGCTCAATTTGTAAAAAAGTTGGACATACAAAAAATAATTGCCCCAAACTTAAAAGAGTTAGAAGAGTTAATAATATTTCTCAATATGAAAATAACGAAAATGATGAAAATGAAGAATATATAGAATATGTAGAATATGATGAGGAAGAAATAATAGATGCGGATAATGAAGAAGTAATTTTAGAAGATGATGAAAATGAATATATCGATTTTGAACCGCAAGAAACAAACTGTTTTAATATAAAAAAAAAAGAGGCGTTTCTAGGATTCCTATAAAAAACAAAGCTATCAAGTCAACTAAGAAAAAAATGATAGATGAAAATCAAGTATTCTTAGAATCGATTAAATATATAATATCATCATTAATTCCACATTGTCCAAAAGAAATTCTTTCAGAGTTATATGCATTTATTAGAAAATTATTTCCAGAAATGGAAAACACATTCCACTCATATTATACAAAAAATTATTCTAGTAAAGAAAGAGATATGGTATGGAAAAATCTTATTAAGAAATATCAATTTATTTTAGTACCATTGATTTATATTATTAATAGTCATAAAGAAAGTCAAAGTCAGGAATCTATTACTGATAACCGTTCTTTAAACCATGCAATAAAATTATATCAAGAAGCACAATTAATTCGAGATTGGCCTAATCCTTTAGAAATTAATTTCCTGCAAATAAAAGAACCAAACAACTATGCAACTATTCCATATAAAATATATGATTTAGAAATACCTCATGCTTTACTTGATACGGGTTCTGATGGATCTCATCTTTCTGATAATATTGCAGATTATATTGAAAAATATTTTGGTTTAAAAATGGATAGAAAAAAGGCTTATAGGCTTTCAGGAGCCGTTGGAGAAAAACAATCTATAGGGACATTTCATGATATTCCAATAACTATAGGTATAGGAAATGATACTGTAAATATTTCAGATGAATTTTCAGTTCTTCCAACGGAAAAAGATCATAATGGTAAAGATATATCATTATTTATTCTTGGTACCAGATGGCAACATCGTGCTGGATGGGAACCTATTGTAAAAGGCGAATTTAAAGCTTCTTGCAATGGAAAAACCATTACTATTCCACTTTCCGTTCATAAACCTCAGCAAAATGTTTTTAGCAAAGCCAGCATCAATAATGTAGAAAAAAAAAAAATTAATTGATAGAACATGTCAATATTGTAATCAGTCTTTCAAATATCCTTGTAGATTAAAACCGCATTTAAAAAACTGTAAGCATAGAAAAAATGGCCTTGCCAGCTCTGCTGAAAATAACAGTGTTTCTACAGTTAATGAAAATGTTTTAACAGCAAATAACAGTGTTTCAACAAAAAATAATAGCAGAGCTAGCATGGCTAACGTTCTTACAGTTCCTATTCGATTATCATTAGCATAATTGTACTTAGCCATGTAGATTTTTTCTAAACGTAAATTTTTTTCGATTTTCCAGATTAGTTTCTGAATTATAGTACCTATTTACCCATAAACCTTTTTCAGCATAGGAAAAATAACTTTCTGGCTCAATTGTTCCATCCCTACCGCCATGTTGATTGAAAGATATAATGTGGTCATTGAGATTGATTATTTTTTGGTCCTTAGCATCTATAATATCTTCTAATTGCTGACATTTATTTCCTAACTTATTAATTTTTTCCAAAGATGATTTGTTGCTTTCCTTTAATGCTACTATATAATTTTTATATCTTTTATTATCATCTGATAATTTGGCGATTTTTTTATCCTTTTCTTCTAATGTTTTACTATAATTCTTGGTATTTTGTGTCTCCATCGCAGAAACTTTGGATTCATATTGATCTTCTATTTCTTGTTTCAAAATATATATATTTTTATTATTCTCATCAATAAGTTTATCGTATTCGTTTTTTACATTACTAATCTCAGTATCTTTTTCATTGGTTAATTTTTGACGTTCAGCTTCAAGATATATCAAATTTTCTTGCTTTAGCCTATTAGTTAATTTCTGATTAAATATCTTTATATCTGCTGAAGAAGCTACATTATTACCAGTACAAAGTAAAGAAGATTCCGATTTTTGTGCATCCTGCTTATCTATTAATGTTACAGTATTGGATAATTTTGGCGGAGCCTGCTCTGATGAGTATTTTATACTTCGACGTTGTCTTTCTTTTTTCTTCTTATATTTTTCAACCTCATGTTTTAGAAAATTTTCAATTTCTGAGTTTATATTACCTACCTCAACCTCTGTTAAAGGATTATTTTTTCGTCTTGTAAGACGTTTCCAAGATTCTTGTATTATTGATGGCGGTAATTGCTCAACCAAGTTTGAATAATTTTTGTGGAATTCCATAGAATATTCCTATAAAAGAATTCCAAAGAATTCCAAATAAAAAAATATTTATATTAATCATGTATAAATATCGTTCTTATAAAATTTTAATTATCTAAAAAAAGTATACTTTTAGTGATTGACATCCATAAATTAATTTCATACATAATTAATCTTATACATGAAGTATACATGAAGTATACATGAAGTATACATGAAGTATACATGAAGTATACATGAAGTACACATGAAGTATATTCATAAACCGTTAATATTATATTAATTATATTATGTAAACACAGTTTAAGTACACTTGAAGTATACTTGAAGTATACTTGATGTAACGTTGATAATTGTTATGTTGTACGATATAATTAATATTTTTTTCGTAATACATATAATTAATATTTTGGACGAATTTATTTTCATTTAATAAAAATGCCTATACCAATCAAAACTCATAATCCCGAAGCCTCGAATTTACATACTAATATTAGTAAAAGTATGCAAAATAACGTTTCTAGCCTTATTTCATCATTTATGTATAAAAAAATCAGAATTTCTTTACGTGTATTGTTAGCTATAGTTAAGCCGGAAATTCATAAACTAATTATAGATTCAATGATGATTAATAATAATAGCGGAGCTAGCATGGCTAAAACAGTTTATAATATATCTAAAGTAGATTCGTCTGATGAAGATGAAGATGAAGTTGAAGATGAAGTTTAACCAAAAGTATGTAAAAAAATTATTTTTAGCGGAGCCTTTAGTATAACTAAAGAAATTCCGATGTGTACAACCCATATAATAATTAATATTAGCAGGGCTAATTCCTCATATACAATAAAATAAAGTTATATGTAAATGTGGTTAAGATATGCTAGAGTTGAGCTAGAGACGTGCTAGAATTTTTTCTATATATTTATATGTAAAATGATACACTCATGCTAGAGTCGTGCTAAATTTTTAGTAAATCATATTAGTTAAAACATTTCTAATTACTGCTTCTTCTTCTTCTACTACTTCTATAAAATCGAATTCATCATCATTATAGATAAATGGAATAACGTCCCCATCATACAATGTAAAAGTTTTATTTTCAAAATCTACATTTTCCACATTTGCCTGAAACCATGGCCAACCCAATATCAGTGCGTTTTTATGACCAGGTTCCAATGCAATTTTTTGCTCAGGTTCATCAGTTACAAAAATTTCATTAACTTCTACTTGTTTCCATTTATTATCTTTGGTTTATGGATCATACCTAATATATTAAACATACTTGGTTTTCCTTCTGGTTCTGTATAGGAAGTATCGATTTTCAATTTTTTAGCGGAGCTAGCATGGCTAAAATGTCTTGCTAAGTCCATATCTACAATATTATAATTAGTACAGGAGCAACATCCAACCTCAACTGGTATATTATTAATTTTACAGGGTAAATTCATTATGGCGTTTTTATTAAAATAGTATATTTATATTAGAAAAAAATTTATAATTTGTTTCAAGTAATATCTTTAGAAATTTACCGGAGTTAACATGGCTATTTTTTCCTGGAGTGGTACTTTTAGTCAACCGACAACATGTGTGGACGATAATCATGTTTGTTACATTTTGGAAGATGATCTGCTATAATTAGCGGAGCTAGCATGGCTAAATAACGTCTCAAAATATATTATATCTAAAAAAAATTGTTATAATATGATTTCCAAATAATTATGTTATATAAATTATTGATATTCGGGTTTGAGTGTTAATTTCATAGCCCTTTTTTCTGCTTCTTCAGGAATTACCCCTGATGCAACAAACTTTTTATATGCACGAATTCTCCAATGCCCATAAGGTAAAGTTCGGATTCCGTCAGATAAAATCCAGCGCTTATTGTCATAAGGATTCAGCCCTATTTTGTTAACGCGTTCTAAATAAATTTGATGATCATAGCTACGAAGCCCATACATGTCGTGCCTAGTAATTTTTCGAGTTTTTAAGCATTCTAGGAACTTGTCATGACGAAGCTCCCTTTTTACTACTGATTTTTTAACGCCCTTGGCCTTTTGTATGCCATGCTTTTTCTGCCAACCCTCTTCTTCTAACTCTTTTTCGAAATCCGCCTCTGTTTTTGGCGTTTTGGGATCATGACCAACTGGAAGAACTGAATACATTTTCGGCTTTAAGCATACAGCTTCACTAATTGGGATTCCCTTACACTCATCTTTCATTAGAAATAAGTCTCCGGAATTATTAAGATCAAATAGGTCTGGCCTCTCTGCCCGGTCTTTATAAACGTCTTCAGTTTCAATCCACATAATTAGTGAATCGGTATCAGTATAAAGAAGGCGGGCCTTTTCCCCATAACGGGGTTTAATATAGCCATACCAAAAGTTATACATCATAGCCTTACTAATATCGAGAATTGCTTGTCCTACAAACATCGGCTTATTTAGAGTAATCTGACTTTTTAGCATATGGATGGCTGTAATTCCGCCTTCGAAAGCCTTAAAACCTACATATAAAGGAGATGAGGTAAGACGTTTAAGTTTTTTGTCCTCTTCAGGTTTAAGTAATTCTACTCTCATATGCTTTCGGACATTTTCCATTTGCTTACCAAAGACGGCATTATTTTTTAATTTATAGTACATAACTCCGAATTCGTCCCCAGATGCTTTAGCAATTTTTCTTTTGCGAATATTTTCCTCTATATAGGGCTTCATCCATGGGGATTGATGGAATTTTAGAGCTTCATGAATTTTTGTAACCTTTATTCCAAGATTTATATAAAGTTGAAGGGCTCTGTAATGAACCACATAATTTTTCTTAGGCAGGAGCGTCTGAAGTAGCTTTTCTCCTAATACATATTTTCCTCCGCCAATTTCCGAATCATTTACCAAGTCTTCATTATATGGGCTAAGCCAGTTTTTAGGTACAACGCCTTTTTCAGGTGCTAATGGGTAATCATTGAATAAATCGTGCAAGTTTAACGGAACTTCCATATCAACTTCAAGTAAATAGCCCTCTTCAGCATCAATCGGAATTTCTAAAATATTAGGAATTTCCTCAGGGGCTACCTTACCTAAAATTTCTGTTGGTAAATATTGTATCATGGCGCCAGAATATAATGCATTCATATCCTCATACATAACCCATGAATTCGGCTTGCTTTCATCATAATCAGGACATTGCGGGTTATTAGCTTTGGCATAACGTTGACTAACCATAGACATGCCCCCACGAATGGCTCTCTCTACTAACATATATTGATCTAGGTCTGTCAGAAGTTTTATTTCGGCTCCGCTACTTTTGTATAAAGAATCATTAAACATACCAGGAGCCAAAACGTAATGGGATGGGTCTAAGCCATCATCTTTCAAACACATAATGGTATAATTCATAAAAACGTCCGCAAGTAGGAGTACATCTGTTTCAAGATATAAATCATGATATTCGCCAAAAGTTTTCATTTCGAATTTTTGCCAGACTTCTTGGGCATAGGTATAGTCTGCCTTACTAATGTTTTGCTGGTTAAGTAGAGAATAGAAATCTTTTCTGCGCGGTAAAGCCGTTTTTTTGAATTTATCCCAAGAATTGGTCCAGTCATATGGAAAAACCCCTTTTCGAAATAGAAATTTGATTTGCTCTAATGAGTAGCCTTTATCGGCAAAATGCTTTTTAGTTAGGGGGAACTTTTCTAGATTGCCGTTCATACACTCAACAAGCTTATCAAGCCCCATAGACATATGCTGAAAGCTATCTAAAAAGCGCAATTGACCAACATCCATAGCCTTATATTTGCCTATGTTTTCCGGAATGCATTTAAGCTTATTGGAAGTAAATCTGCCGGCAACTTCTATAAGCAAGTGAGAATCGTAGCCTCGGAAATTATGACAGATAAGTGGTACTTTGGTTTTGAAAGCGCCCATTTGTAGTTTTTTATTGCAATTGCTATGAGCTGGGCCTCTATATTTTCCATTAATATGGCAATGGTCCCGAACTTTTAATAATCCTTGATCTAACATTTGACTATTACAATACATACATTTGTATGTTTCTTTGAATATTCCATTATCTGGAATACTAGGCTGTTGATACCATTTTGGACCAATTATTTCGTTTTTTTGCTTACATCCTTGATGTGATGCTCCTTTATAATTTCCGGTATTAGGGCAACAAACCATTGTTTTGAGTATATTTTGATTTGGAAATTGCCATATTGTATCATCCCATGGGACTAAAATGTCATCTGCAGATTCCTTAATGTCATCATTATCATCTTCA